CTAACCCTTGACCCTAACCCCTAACCTCAACTCCTGCAACCTTTGCCTTAACCCCTACCTCTGACCTCAACCAACAGCCTAAATCCCTGAACTTTATACCCTGATCCCAACCTCTGACCTCAACCACTGGCTTCAATCTCTGCAAACCTGACCTCGATAGCTGACCTTTACCCCTGACCTACACTCATTTAGGATGATGAATGTTGGTATGGTTGTAATAACCTGGCAGGCATAATAGCAAGTGTGATAGCTAATTGAAATTGTAATTTATAAATCTCTTCCATAGGTCAAACTGGCAATATAAAGTAAACAAGAGACCCAAGGACATTTACGGTCACCTAAGTTCTATAAATAATTTTGTTGCAAATATGTAAGTAGTAGAAATCATTATGTTAATAAAATCAAATATGTTGATTGATATTGTACATCTAATGCAAATATTAAATCTGTATAATTTTAACTGCCATCCCACGTAATTAAACAAATTATGCTCAAAACAGTAATTTTCCAATATACCAATAGCAAACTTTTCCCCTTCCACAGGGGAGAATATGAGAAATCTGGGGTCATAAAATTTACATTTTTGGTAAAGCACCTTAGGAACCTCCAGCCCATGTAGATTATTTGATTCTACCATACCTGGATCTTCAGAGGAATAATTTGAAACTTGAGCAAAATTCACAATTTTGGTTCACATTGAATCAAAATTAGTTCAGAGGTTTTTGAGAGATCAAAAACTTCCAATGACTATGGACAAAAAGCCATCACAATAGGATACCTAAGATTTCATTAAACTGACCTAAAAAAACTAATTGTGGGAAAAACTGGTGGAAAGTATCACTTCCTCTCATAAATTATTTCACAATCAACATTCATCATACACCCTATTTATGACAACAATATTTCATAACTACTGGTGGGAATATTTCAAAACATTTTCAAAGCTTACTTAAGCTAACAAATGAAGTAACAAATTTAAATAAACTACCATCATTTCCGACAAATCCATAGGAATAATTACGAAATTGTACTTTTCGCTTATCAGTTCGAGAATTGGACTGTGAAGAACAGATATAGGTTCTTGGATGGACCAAGGTTTAAAAGGCGAGTGTTGTCGATGAAGCTTATTCTTCCGGAACACCTGGTCTTATTCTCCTTGTATTTTTGCAGGAATCTGAAGTTTGGGTTACGATTGTGTTGTGATGTTGGTATTTTCTTTATGTTTTTTATACCGATGAATCATAGACAATGTTGTGCATCGTTAGTAACAAGGAAATGTAATATTAAAAGGAATGTTACATTAAGAAAAATATCTAATTTGGTAAAACAAATGACACGTAGTATCAGCACAAATTAAACCATTGTGTTATATTATGATTACTAATTATCAAAAATCAACAAAGATTTCTTTTTACATTATTTGTATCTGTTGCTATACATGTAGACGTTAAAACTGACCTCACACTTATTTCAATAAAAAGCTTCATCACAGGTGTAATCCTTTAGAAGGAGGAAATAAAATTAGAAATCAAATTTCAATCAATCAACTGAAAGAAGATTATCTAAAACGTCAAGATCAAACATTGTTTAAATTAAGACACAATCATGACATCAGACAATGTGACGAAAGAAAGGAACCCATGCTTACATCAACATATAACAATAAAAAACAATTAAAAATAAATACATGGAGACAACATCTGATTAGCACTCGGGTCATAGCACTTACAGAGAGGAAAATAACAGTTAATGATACAAACATAATCTTTACAGATTCAATTATTTGATAGAAAAAGCAGTATTTTAAAGCAATGATTTTTTGAAAATTTGGTGAATTGTGTAACAAGAGCTAAAATTGAATTTATGGTGATGAACATCAACCAATTTGTGACAGAAAAAAAAAGTGGTTTGAGTGAGAAAGTCAATATCAATCTAACATACTGTATATACAGGGATTTAAAACTACCATTAATGCACAGGTAAATAATATGAGGTAACATAAATCAACATTAAACGAGAAAAAACTTATATCTATGATGTATTCATTTAAGCATGACTAAAAAGGGAATGACAAACTAGTAAACACATCTGGACAAGCACTCGCACTGACTCACCTGACAAGTGCTGACAACGACTCACCTGACAAGTACTGACAACGACTCGCCTGACAAGTACTGACAACGACTCGCCTGACAAGTACTGACAACGACTCACCTGACAAGTACTGACAACGACTCACCTGACAAGTACTGACAATGCCTCACCTGACAAGTACTGACAATGACTCACCTGACAAGTACTGACAACGACTCACCTGACAAGTACTGACAACGACTCACCTAACAAGTACTGACAACGACTCACCTAACAAGTACTGACAACGACTCGCCTGACAAGTACTGACAACGACTCACCTGACAAGTACTGACAACGACTCGCCTGACAAGTACTGACAATGACTCACCTGACAATGACTCACCTGACAAGTACTGACAATGACTCACCTGACAAGTACTGACAATGACTAACTTGAAAAGTACTGACAATGACTCACCTGACAAGTACTGACAATGACTCACCAGACAAGTACTGACAACGACTCACCTGACAAGTACTGACAATAATGACCTGACATGTACTAACAATGACTCACCTGACAAGTACTGACAATGACTCACATGAAAAGTACTGACAACGACTCACCTGACAAGTACTGACAACGACTCACATGAAAAGTACTGACGACTCACCAGACAAGTACTGACAATGACTCACCTGACAAGTACTGACAACGACTCACCTGACAAGTACTGACAACGACTCACCTAACAAGTACTGACAACGACTCGCCTGACAAGTACTGACAACGACTCACCTGACAAGTACTGACAACGACTCACATGAAAAGTACTGACGACTCACCAGACAAGTACTGACAATGACTCACCAGACAAGTACTGACAATGACTCACCAGACATGTACTGACAATGACTCACCAGACAAGTACTGACAATGACTCACCAGACAAGTACTGACAATGACTCACCTAACAAGTACTGACAATGACTCACCTGACAAGTACTGACAATGACTCACCAGACAAGTACTGACAATGACTTGGGCCCAAGAGTCACAACATTTCTATTTATCAAGCCCTAGAGTCAAAGCATTTCTTCCAGTTGTCAGTAATCAATCAAATTAATATAGCACTGCATTTGAGTAAAAAAAGAAAAAAGTTTTTTCGAGTTAAAATCCTCAAGCAATTTGATATAGTATTTGTCCTTCTGGTTACAACTCAATCCTGAGACATATTTATATAGAACCATGATGATGACCGACATAACACAGTGATATATCATATACACTGACAGGTTAAATAATTCTTGTAACCATCAATATCTTCAAATATACTGAAATACATACCTGTATCTATGTTACAGATTCATGATACTTTATCATGATCATTTGTTAGCAGTTCTCTCCCTTAGATTGTCGTTGACATTTTGCTTTAACACTTACACATTTTCTGCATTATCCGATACCTAACATGTATTATCCGTAACTGAACAAGCACAAGAACACATTTTACCAATATATTCAATATTTGTCTACTTCAAAGGAAATTAAATATGCTTCTATGAGGTGGAGTAAATACAGAGTCAGGAGTAAATACAGAGTCAGGAGTAAATACAGAGTCAGGAGTAAATACAGAGTCAAAGAACAAATAAAGAAAGGAAAAGATAAGAAATGGAAAAGGATAAAAAACAGTGTAATGTGTCATGATTTTTTTTTCTTTTCTAACATGATCAATAAATGAGTAAATGATAAAACAACAACATTTGACAAACAAACCTTAAAAAAATTCACATCATTTTCTCTCAATATTTCATAGAGCAATTATACAGAACTTCAATAAAATAGAAATGAATTAAATCAATCATAACTTGGTGAATACACTAAAAGAAGATGATGAACCGATTTATAACACATAAAACTAGACACACAGCACAGTACATTCACACATCTGTAATGATATCATTTTTTAAGGAATGTTTGGGTAACCATGGAGACTACAATGAAGACCATATTAGGAAGTCAGCTTTCATGTGAATAAGTACTAATTAAGAGTAATCTACATGAAGCAAAAATGTCAATATACAGTAAACTTTAAATCATATCTGTCATGTATGTTATTAAACTTAAAAAGATTATCCCTCCAGTAAAATACGAATGTATAGATAGAGAAACACAAAAACTTTTGAAATAAAATATGTGTAAAACAAAACAAAAATGAACACTCCTTAAACCATCACTTCAGAATAAACATGTTACCTAACATCAAAACGTCTGGTAATATAAGCTTCTTATATGTATGTACATATACATAAAAATCTCATTTCTCATCAGTATCTTCATCTTTTGTGTCATTCATCAATACCAATCAACATATTTTCTAATAAAAATATCAAACCCATTTAAAATTCAAACTTCCTGAATTTTTATTTGTACCTAAAATGATGCCCCATCAACTAAAACTCCCACAGTTTTGTGATAATCAGAGCAACAGGAATTTGTAGATTGAAATATTAGCATCCACCACGAACAGTTTTGAGGTATCAGCAGTAGCCACGTGAAACCAGGTTTCAAGTAACGTCTTCATTCTGATCACAAAATCTAATGCAAATTTTTATATCAGTGATACTCATCACGAAATTCAACTATTAAGTGGATCATCCAGAGAAACCAGCACTTATCAGAATATCCACAGTTTCATGAAGGACATAAGAAGTAGACATTTTTTTGACATCCTATGGTTTCTGTGATATAATCACTACCAAAATGTCCTTCAGTATTGTGAATGTCATCAGAAGCAACCTTGACATCAATGATGTCATCAACACCTGCAGGACGCCCAGCAGTAACGACTCTGACATCAGGTATTTCTATGATGTCATCAGTCGTTAGCAGATGTCGACAATCACCAGTTTCTAGGTTTCCCTCAGTAGTTGCTAGGGCATTCCTTAGGATGGACATAACCAAAGATGTTTAGTTCGTAAAGGGAGGTAAGCACAGTGAAAAACACATAGATGATGAGGAGCACTATCCCATATGCTTTGGTTAAACGCCACTTGTTGAGGTGGGTAATCAAGAGAAGTAAAAATACTGTGGCTAGCAGAGTGAATGAGGAGTACAAGAGACCTGTAAATCAAACAACAAGGTAGTATATACATATATGATACAATTGTCTGTGCAAACATAATATATACAAAATCATTACAAACCTGCATTTAACATAATATAAAAATCATTAACAGCCTGCATTTAATATAAAATTAACGAAAATCATTAACAGCCTGTACTGAAACAATGCAACACATAATAACATTATAAATGGCAGTCTACACGAATTAATGTACCAACATCACAAACATTGCTATAGCAACAAAACCCGGAATTAGAGATGATGACATGATTTCAGTTCAATTTGTATTTCTACTCATCTCTGATCTCCAAGTCAATAAATTTACTGTTTTTAATTATCTCAAGTTCTGAAGAATTTGTTTTTATTTTTTGGCTGATAAAAGCTGATTTGCTTGCAGGATAATATCTTATGATTAAATTGTTTAGTGACACCTTCAGAGTTTGACCTTGACTCACCTTCACTGTAAACCTCAACAGGTTTTCCCTTGTTGATGATGATCTGTAGTAACCATGGTACCCCCATACATATAAGTATATCAAAAACGTTACTTCCTACAGCATTAGAAACAGCCATATCTCCATGACCTATGGAAACAATGTTAATCTACTGATTACAAGTGACATTAGAGCCATGTATACATACATAAACAAAAGATCTAGAGGATGTTGGTGTCCATCATTGTTCTTCATTTGTTCTTTAAAAGCTGGACTTTTTCCTTCCTTTATCTCCTTTTCTCTGATTGTGTTCTACAATGATAATCTTTATCAGCCAAATCCAAGAAGTTCCAAAATCAGTAACACATAACTATGGATAAAGGGGAACTTGCAAAAAAAATTTGAGAAATATCTATGCAGACTTTTCAAGAAATAGTGAAAACCAACTTTCATAAACAAAATCCAAGATGGCCACCTATCAGTAAGTTATTTTTTCTGATCAGTCCCACAATTAAATGGGCATATTTAGGGACCAAAAGGGGCCTATAAATGAAATCTCATAGTATTTCTTAAGAAATAACGATAACAAACGATTACAGTCAAAATCAAGATGGCCACCTGCCATCCGTTTTGTTTTCAGGATTAGTCTGAAAGTGGGATAATGCATCAAAAAAGACCAAACAGAGCCTACAAATGAAATTTGAAAAATAATAGTCCAGGGCTTCTCAATAGAGAGCGGTAACCAAAATTGTTCATGGAGAGACAGATGAAAGACAGATGCCAAATGATGGACAAAGGGCAATGTGAATCTCTATCTGATGATGGTAGGCTAACAATGAACATATACAACCAAACCTTGTTAACACTGGGTCTTGTAACACATTGTACTTGTGCTGATAAGATCATGCTATGATAACGATGGTGATATATATATAATATTATCTAACATATTGTTATATAACTTGTGCATGCATGTATACATTTATGTAGAAATTGAAATGCTGCATTCAAATCGTATATATATATATGAAACTATTGTTCTTAGTTTTGAGTTTCTGTGAGTGAACCTGGTTTTAGCAGCCACCTGTCTTAAGCACCCAATTACTGTTGGGCCCTTGGGCGACCTCTTAATGTAGGTTTAACTGTATGTATACTTACCCTCTCGTACTACAATTAGACTAGCTATTACATCTGGCATGCTGACCCCAAAAGCAATGAAAGTGAGGCCCATGACTGTATCAGGGATGTCTGCAGTGTATCCTGTAATATTAGAAAGTTTACATTGTATCAAACAACTGAAGCTCATTTCTGAAGATATTGAATACTATCAACAAAATAGGATTTTACAGGCCTTTACTTCGTCTCCAACATAAACTGGTCTAGTCTCCAGTTCTGAAAACTTGAATACATTTCAGTAAAAATTAGTATGAAACTAGATATATTTGTAAATAAAGTCTGTTATTTTTACCTAAATAGATATAAGATATATTTTTTATTCTTAAACTGAGTTAATTACAGTAAATTAGACTTGCAATAGATTTATTTAATACAAAAAGTTGTTGGCAACTGCCAAAGTCCTAGACCCTGAGTTAATACTCACCTATAACGGTTATCATCCAAACCATTATATATGATAGGATAGTTAACCAAATGAGACACATGATGAAAGTGACGATAAACCAGCGCCTCCATCGTGGTTGACGACAGTCGGGTATAGATATAAATAACACTACTTTCAGTGGTACAGCTATAACCCACAAAGTTTTTTTCCACCAGACATCTGGCCATGCGAACACAGACTCTGGTTCTTCATTGTAATTAGCTAAATTGGTAAAAAGAAAAGTGTCAGTATCAGTCATTCATACCTATGCTTAAACATGTTTAAAATTACAACAGGTAACACTGCTAAACTACAACAGGTAACACTGCTTAATTACAACAGGTAACACTGCTAAACTACAACAGGTAACACTGCTTAATTACAACAGGTAACACTGCTAAACTACAACAGGTAACACTGCTAAATTACAACAGGTAACACTGCTAAATTACAACAGGTAACAGTGCTAAATTACAACAGGTAACAGTGCTAAATTACAACAGGTAACACTGCTAAATTACAACAGGTAACAGTGCTAAATTACAACAGGCAACGCTGCTAAATTACAATAGGTAACACTGCTAAATTACAATAGGTACCACTGCTAAATTACAATAGGTAACACTGCTGTTTTGGAAATTATACTTTAATTTATTAAGTCCATTCCTGGTAATTAGTCTACCCATACATATTGCAGTTTCAGAAGAAACACCCATGAAATTATAGCATGGCACCATAGTAAGCCTACATTCAGTTAATGATAGTGTGTTGCCTGGGCTTACGGACCCGGGCTTACAGACCCATAAACATGATAAAATAAATTTACTTTTATCTGACTTTTCTCTGTCTTTGGTGGGGACTTTACATAACACTGTATCAGAGAGAAAATTTTGGACAATGCTTCTTTTTCTAATATTGTTGAAGATTCATTAAAAAGTAAATGTGGGATACAAGAATCAGTTTTATAACTTCAACTATTATTACAGTAATCTACAGCAATAACATCCTGACAAATTGTCTTGACATTTAATACAATATATACAGAACAGGCAAACACGAACAAAGATATTTAATCGGCGGTCAAAGTTGTAGAAATAGAGATATGATAAAATATTAATTGATGCCATGTAATATTATCAAACAACACTAGTTACAGTTATCATTTTCCACACTGACATTTTATATATGATTTTCAAATTTCAAACCAATAGGAAAATAAGGCTCATGCTACAAATATGAAGTTAGTTTTTGGAGAGTTTTTGAAATTTTTGGAGAGGAAAATGTTATGCTATATCTAGTAAATCTACTGGAAAGGTGAATACACATATACACTGTACAAAGACACCAGTTCCAGAAAGAAAATTATTATTAGCTCAAAATTGGGGGGGAAATTAAAAATTAGCACCTGGAACCAAGATTAACATGCACAAAAAATACTATTAAGAGACTTACATTACAGAAAGTCAGAATAGTTTCAAGATATTTTCAAATTTTTTTAGTTATGGTTAAAAACAGAAGAGTGACAGTACAAAATATCAAAAGGTGAACTACAAAGATTATCTCCCCTGATAGGAGTGCGTACATTTTTTGATAGAACAGTCAAAAAATAATAATACATTTTGGAGTATAAGAATGTTATGATATCTAAACCTTTTTTCAACACTTTTGACTTGATTTATTGTCACCGTTTCCTTTCATCCAAATTCCTGCAGGGTACTTGTGCTACAAGCATTTAAAAATATAGAAATATGAAATAACTGTCATACAGATAATACGAAAATGAAATATGAAATTCCAAGCTAAGTAAGCTTAGCTACGAAAAGTATTAGTTTTATTTAGATAATCTTTAATGTAAGGACAAATAAATTCTTTACGTTGTTGTTTAGTATCACAGACTTGTTTATATAAACTGTAGACGGACCTGGGGTTTTGTACAACTGTTTATACTGAGCTTTTGTTGGTATAGTGTATTATATATCATTACACAACACTTCACACTGTAAGTATAAGAGAGTTAAAAAAAAAACATGATTCAGAATACTTTGAGGAGTACAGTTGAACTTTCTGGAGATAAAGACCTTGTGCTATACACTCTAATACGGACAGACTAATGCACACAAAAAGAAAATGGCACAAAATAAATAAGAAAACTGGATGTCAAGATTAAAATTGAAGTAACTACAAGTACTGGAATTGAATAAAATATAAACTTTATTTCTATCTTAACAATTGGGAAACAAGCTTTAAGCTTATATTAATCATTCAGTGCAGACGAGAAGTCTTCTTGTATGAGGAAACCAGACTACCCAGGGAAAACCTATGTGGTCAGACAGGTGACTCCAAACGTATTCACCATCCTGCTGGGAATTGAACCCCAGACACCTAGTTGAAAGACATGTGTGTTACCACTGCACCAACCCGGAATAGTCCATGTGTTTTATATTTTGTATTGTTACACCAGGTCAAGTCTAGCACCTACTGCAAAGTTCTGTCCAATAAGTCACTGGGTACACAGTAGATCAGTCCTACATGGTTTTATCACACAATTAACATTCACAGTATATAGTATAACTATGATTGAAATCATGCAGGACTTTGTATATTACATTTCTGATAACACAGTACTCTGGTAGTAGTGACTACAAATAGGCAGCTTTTTTACACAGAATTTCATCAATAAAACTTAAGCAGATTTTATGATTGCTAAATCAATGAAGTTGTCCAACAGATGTAACAATGTACAAAATAAAGTAGCAGATGGCAAAAGGTATGAAAGTACAATATGAAGAAATTCTACAGCTGGAACATCTGTGCAGCTACATTTTCACATTCAATATATGCGGAGTTATGTCCCCTTGAAGTAACAGATTGTTTTTCTTATTAACAGTACTCTGTATACTCAGATCACTATCGGAGAGCATGATGGTAAAATCTGCTGACATCAGATATTTCTTGAAACGTATCATTTCAAAGGGATATAAGACTTTAAAAAAAGGTGATATAGAACTGATTGTTTGTCAACAGCCAAGATCTTTTTGAGGCACGGTCTCCTTATAGCAGCTGGTTGTTACCTCTTTGAATAACATTATCTGAGGCCCATCACAAACCAATTAGTGTTTTGCCCAAGGACACAATCACAAAAGTACATACTGGTTCATTTTCTAGTTTCCTGAAAAACACAAACCACGATGGGTAGGAAGCATTGAACAACACTTTCAAACCTTCACCTAAGGTTGCTTAGGCAGGCGCTCTACCAAATGAGCTATCATGGTCCCAGATAAGGAATTGAATCTTAAACCTTTATCTTCAACTGGTAACAATAAAGCTGTATACCAAATATAAATCAATTATTGGTATAGGAATAACAGCAAAAAGGAAAACCTGAGGTGGAGACAAAAGAGATATAGACAGAAAGAAAACCTTCAGTCCTCTGCAATATCACTAGTAAGACCAATAGCTCTGTCACATCAGACCAAATATCACTAATAAGGCCCATAGCTCTGTCACATCAGACCAAATATCACAAGTAAGACCCATAGCTCTGTCACATCAGACCAAATATCACTAATAAGGCCCATAGCTCTGTCACATCAGACCAAATATCACAAGTAAGACCCATAGCTCTGTCACATCAGACCAAATTTCACTAGTATGACCCATAGATCTGACATCAGACCAAATATCACTAGTAAGACCCATAGCTCTGCCACATCAGACCAAATTTCACTAGTATGACCCATAGATCTGACATCAGACCAAATATCACCAGTAAGACCCATAGCTCTGTCACATCAGACCAAATATATAGTAAGACCCATAGCTCTGTCACATCAGACCAAATATCACTATTAAGACCCATAGCTCTGTCACATCTTATCAAATATCACTAGTAAGGCCCATAGCTCTGTCACATCTTATCAAATATCACTAGTAAGACCCATAGCTCTGTCACATCAGACCAAATATCACAAGTAAGACCCATAGCTCTGTCACATCAGACCAAATATCACTAATAAGGCCCATAGCTCTGTCACATCAGATCAAATATCACTAGTAAGACCAATAGCTCTGTCACATCAGACCAAATATCACTAATAAGGCCCATAGCTCTGTCACATCAGATCAAATATCACTAGTAAGACCAATAGCTCTGTCACATCAGATCAAATATCACTAGTAAGACCAATAGCTCTGTCACATCAGACCAGATATCACTAGTAAGACCCATAGCTCTGTCACATCAGACCAAATATCACTAGTAAGACCCATAGCTCTGCCACATCAGACCAAATTTCACTAGTATGACCCATAGATCTGACATCAGACCAAATATCACTAGTAAGACCCATAGCTCTGTCACATCAGACCAAATATCACAAGTAAGACCCATAGCTCTGTCACATCAGACCAAATATCACTAATAAGGCCCATAGCTCTGTCACATCAGATCAAATATCACTAGTAAGACCAATAGCTCTGTCACATCAGACCAAATATCACTAATAAGGCCCATAGCTCTGTCACATCAGATCAAATATCACTAGTAAGACCAATAGCTCTGTCACATCAGACCAGATATCACTAGTAAGACCCATAGCTCTGTCAAATCAGACCAAATATCACTAATAAGGCCCATAGCTCTGTCACATCAGACCAAATATCACTAATAAGGCCCATAGCTCTGTCACATCAGACCAAATATCACTAATAAGGCCCATAGCTCTGTCAGATCAGATCAAATATCACTAGTAAGACCCATAGCTCTGTCACATCAGACCAAATATCACTAGTAAGACCCATAGCTCTGTCAAATCAGACCAAATATCACTAATAAGGCCCATAGATCTGTCACATCAGACCAAATATCACTAATAAGGCCCATCTGTCAGATAGACCAAATATCACTAATCATAGCTCTGTCACATCAGATCAAATATCACTAGTAAGACCCATAGCTCTGTCACAGTTTAAATATCACTAGTAAACCCATCACTCTGTAAGACCAAATATCACCCATAGCTCTGTCACATCAGACCAAATATCACTAGTAAGACCCATAGCTCTGTCACATCAGACCAAATATCACTAGTAAGACCCATAGCTCTGTCACATCAGACCAAATATCACTAGTATGACCCATAGATCTGACATCAGACCAAATATCACTAGTATGACCCATAGCACTGTCACATCAGACCAAATATATAGTAAGACCCATAGCTCTGTCACATCTTATCAAATATCACTAGTAAGACCCATAGCTCTGTCACATCTTATCAAATATCACTAGTAAGACCCATAGCTCTGTCACATCAGACCAAATATCACTAGTAAGACCCATAGCTCTGTCACATCTTATCAAATATCACTAGTAAGACCCATAGCTCTGTCACATCAGACCAAATATCACTAGTAAGGCCCATAGCTCTGTCACATCTTATCAAATATCACTAGTAAGACCCATAGCTCTGTCACATCTTATCAAATATCACTAGTAAGGCCCATAGCTCTGTCACATCTTATCAAATATCACTAGTAAGACCCATAGCTCTGTCACATCTTATCAAATATCACTAGTAAGACCCATAGCTCTGTCACATCTTATCAAATATCACTAGTAAGGCCCATAGCTCTGTCACATCTTATCAAATATCACTAGTAAGACCCATAGCTCTGTCACATCTTATCAAATATCACTAGTAAGGCCCATAGCTCTGTCACATCTTATCAAATATCACTAGTAAGACCCATAGCTCTGTCACATCTTATCAAATATCACTAGTAAGACCCATAGCTCTGTCACATCTTATCAAATATCACTAGTAAGACCCATAGCTCTGTCACATCTTATCAAATATCACTAGTAAGGCCCATAGCTCTGTCACATCTTATCAAATATCACTAGTAAGACCCATAGCTCTGTCACATCAGATCAAATACCACTAGTAATAATATCACAGCTTTAATAAGCCAATACCGGGTATTAATCTGAATATTATGTGTTGGTCCACTGGATCTGACAAGGTTTTCTTTGGACATTTAATCCAAGCAAGTTTAGTTAATGTACCACACCAGGAATGTTATGCTCCAGATCTGTTCCAGACCAGTCATGCAGCCAACTAATGTTATTCTCAAATACATTTCATTAAAAATGCCCATGATAAAGATTAGTTTTCAGAAAAACATACAGTTTAATTAAAAGTTTGTGTATTTCAATTTCAAACTCTTCCCAGATAAAAAGAACATTAAGTTGAATATTGCAAGTCTTAAAGTCTAATAGGATAGCATCTGACTGAAGAGCAACATTCATCTTCAAACAGAAAGGATGAGGAATTATGTAACTCAGGATCAACTCAATATATCTTCTAGTAAATTGTTCTGGCAGTAACAGTAATTACCTGTTTCTGAAAACGTCTACAACTTTTTCAATGCTGACTGCTGTCTCTCCTTTTAATAAGATATAAATGGGTTCCTTTCAGAGACTTTAAACAAAACTTTCAACAAGAGGCTCACAGGGCCTGTATAACATTGATTCATCCAAACTGAAGGAAAAGGATTTTAAGGTGTCAACTAAATTTGTTTAAAATACTTTCATCTAAAGAGAAAGATATTAAAGTTACAATCCCCCCTCCTTCACCTCCCTTCTACTGAGTCCACCCCTGTGACCTGTGACCCTAACAGGGTCAGACCTACAACTTACACAAAATTGAGTTCCTTTCACCCAAGGTAATTGACCAATTTTTAATGAAATCTAGTCATTTCTGGAAAAGAAAACTTCAAAGAATTTGGTAAATTTCCCCTATCCATCCCTGTCACTGCTGTCCCTGACCTCCCATTTATACAAAATTTAATCCTCTTCTTTGACAAATGCTGCTGCCCAATTCTGGTAAAAACAAAACATCTTCAGTCCAACAACAGAAAAATTTCAATTCTTCTCCTCTATACCACTTATGTGGACTACGTCCTCTCATCCCTGGGGTGGGTGAGGTTAGACCTATCTTTTATACAAAACTGTGCCAGTATCATCGAAGTTCAACTAAAGATGGTTCTGACCAAACCTGGTCAAAATACCTTCATCTCAACCCCAACAGCAGAAGGATATGAGGCTTTTCCATTATTTTTGCTCCATTATGAGAAACAACCCATAATATAACAGATAACACAGCATTGTAACAAAAGGCACATAATACCAATATACAAAACACACACATATACCATATTTTACCGCAAATAAGCCCCCCCACCCAGTTCAAGAAGACTTGTCAAAAGAGGGGAGGGGGCTTATTCGCGGGCAATCTCCCTGTTCTTGGATTTTTCGTCATAAGGAACGATAACTTGGTCTATCTGTCATCAAAAATAACCCAAAGACGAAAAAAGGATCAGTAATTTTATTAACAATATAACAAAATACATTTTATTTTCATCATCGTATTCCAACGCTGAAACATTGTTTCCACCGGCGTAACCATCCATTGGAGGCTATAAAGTTGTCAATGCAGAGTTGGCTGGCGAGTTTTCTCCCCTTAGAATGCAGCTGATAATTGAAGACGGCTCGACCCTTGGCGTGTTCCTCATCGAACCAGTCGAACACAGCATCATCAAGCTTAATGGACCAGGGCGCTGGGTTGGTGCCAAGCTTCTTCTTCTTGGAGTCTGTTCCTTTCCCATGGCCAAAGAGTTTCTCAAAGTCTCTGTCCCACTGTCTGACGAGTTTCCTGTCGACGGAGAAATCTCTTGCTGTCTGATGGAGATTTCGGCCATTGTCACAGAACCAGTTACGATGTCCAACTTCTCCTTAACTGTGTAACGTCTTCGTGTAGCATGCATGATGATTTGAGTCATGGTTGGATTTTTACTCTCTAATTAACGACACTGATATGGCTTGGGACTCAACGTTTCAAAGTCGTCAAAGCGACACTGTGTTGTTTTAGCGTGTTTTGAGCATGGCCCTCTCGCTGTGATTGTTAGCTAATTATCACAAGTTGAAATAAAAAATAAGTGGACACCTGTGAACACTAAAAAACAAGCCCCTAATGATAACACCTGGCAATTAAATGTAAGTACTGCTTTATCGTTGTAAGTGTTGATTTTTTGTCAAAAAAACGGGAGGGGGGGGGGTGGCTTAATTGGGAATACCCCCCTATTCCTGGCAAATTGGAAAAAGTGGTGGGGGGTGGGGGGGGCTTATTTGCGGGAGGGGGCTTAATTGCTGTGAAATACAGCAACACAACACATAACGCCATAACACACAACACATATATCACAACAAATATAATAACACACAACACATAACACACACAACACATACAACACAAAAACAAATATAATAACACATATAACACAACAACTATAATAACACACAACACATATAACACAACAACTATAATAACACACAACACATATAACACAACAACTATAATAACACACAACACATATAACACAACAACTATAATAACACACAACACATATAACACAACAACTATAATAACACACAACACATATAACACAACAACTATAATAACACACAACACATATAACACAACAACTATAATAACACACAACACATATAACACAACAACTATAATAACACACAACACATATAACACAACAACTATAATAACACACAATGCATATAACACAACAACTATAATAACACACAACGCATATAACACAACAACTATAATAACACACAACACATATAACACAACAACTATAATAACACACAACACATATAACACAACAACTATAATAACACACAATGCATATAACACAACAACTATAATAACACACAACACATATAACACAACACATATAACACAACAACTATAATAACACACAACACATATAACACAACAACTATAATAACACACAACACATATAACACAACAACTATAATAACACACAACACATATAACACAACAACTATAATAACACACAACGCATATAACACAACAACTATAATAACACACAACACCTAACAGACACAACAAATCTTCGTAACAAACAACATTAAGATCATTACTATGCCAAATATAATTTACATTTTAGTATGAATCCAGCAAAGCCAAGCACAAAATATTAACCAAGCCCTTAAAAATAAAATCAAATACAATATATGAATATTTACCCATTTTCACAGCATGACCTTCACCGGGATCATCTGAATCAGAATCTGTTAGAGCTGTCAATTCATCTGCTTAAAAAAGAAATGCACCACAACATTAACCATAATTAAGAATTTTAAAAACCAAACTTACATAGATGATTGGAATACAATTTTTACACCATGATAATTTAGGCTCTGACTCTCCTGATCCATTGTTTGTACAGATGTAAATATGTCTGATTGTAAACCCTATACGTATACCTGTACTCCAAGGCTTTGTTTTGTACTTTGTTTTGTTTTTGTTTTATCCATTACAAAAGTCCTTTGTTTACATTAATGACTTGGACAATGGATATTATTTGGTAGTGCAATTTCAGTAACGATTTGAGTTTTATTTCTTCAGTCATTTAAAGTCAAACTTTATGTGATGGATATTTTCTATTGAAGATAGCAACAATGTGTCATTTTTCATGTTAAGAGATGAAAAAAGAAGTAAATCTGTACCCAATTGATTATTTCCTTGTATTTTTCAAGATATTTACATCTTCAATAAGACCTGCAAATATAGAGGACCAGACAACATCCCTAGGAAGAATTAAAGCTGTGTAATAGTTGACATGTTTCGGCATACTAGGTATGCTGTCCTCAGAATTCTTCCTACCAATGTTGTCTCGTCCTCTATATTTGCTGTTTACATATCTTTGAACCGGACTCCTGTATTCCACTAGGAATCCATCCTAGGAAGACTGCTGATATTACTGAATCTACCAGACCGGATCTCATTTTCTTTGTATTTTGTGTTCTTCTATTAGAACTGTAAGTCAGAGGCTGAATTAAACCTGATCATGCCTGTACATGACAGGTGATGCTAAGAAATAAATAAAGGGGCATAACTCCCTGGATAATTGCACTAGTTGTGGATTTTGTGTATTACTTTCTTTGAAATATATTGTAGGGCAATAAGTTCACATAATCAAATGATCTGTTAAACAGTTTGATTGTGTATTGAATTATAGTGTACAAATATATGCACACTTACAAGATAAAATATTTTGAAAAATAAAACAAGGATGTAGTAATTCATGTCAACCATCAAAGAACAGAGATGAAACATTTGAAAAGGAGAGTTAAGTTTTGGAAAAAAAAAATAAAATGAAAATTCAACAACAGAAATTGGCACTAAACTAACTTCAAAATAGAAGCTCTGTATATACCTGATAAAGTCTCTGACATACTATTGGCATTTTGTATTACAGCCCCATTGCTATTGGCATCTCGCAACTTGTCATAAAGGACGATGGATTCTGGTTCTTTCTTGCGTACTGCTGCCTGACCACACCAGTTCATCTTTGGCACAATCCATGCCTCTAGCCTACTATTGTAGTACATTATCACTATATACACGAAGTAGAAAAGCACCAGGCCTAATGCCTCATACCTGTAAGTAACAAGCAACACAGAGAAATATTCAAAACAAGCCAAACAAGCCACAGAAATCAGACATTCTGTAGAAGGAACAGATATTTTATTACTAAAATAGCAGGAATGAGAGATTAAAAGCACAAGAAATTAAATACAAAAAGAGCAGGTCAGATAGGGTACCTCCACTTCCTCCGTTTGTTTTGTTAAATCATTGCATCTTATTAAAAATACATCACATTTGTCCGGGAAGATGATTATTGCTGGATGGTTGAACTACAAAAAATCTAAAGGACACAGTTTGGTGTTCAAGTTCCGGTGTACTGAAGGTCATTCATAATTAGCTTTAAAAAGTCTGCAACAAAAGTCTCCCCCAGCACAGACCTGTGAAAATGTGTGACATCATCAATACTATTTCATTATCCTGTGATAGTCCCCTTTAATCATGATTTTTAATTCAATACATAATAGAATCAGAAATCAAGGAGATATGCTAACAATCTCTTCTATATCAGGTTTTTACCTTCATCTTTTCCTACATCAAAACAAACCTGAACACATCCAAGTGGTATTGATAAGCAAGGTGATTTTGATTTAACTATTGTGGTTTTTTCCCTTTCTAGATAGTAAACAACCTCACTCCTAAACAGAGAGTGTTTATGTCACAAATGATTTTTTTGATTTTTTTCCCCAATATCAAGATTTCTGTGAAGGATGTCATCAGTTGACAGGTCACAGAGTTTCAAGAAATGTGTATGTACAGTGATGAAAATTCCTGGTCATCATCATTAAGATTTCATTTAGAAATGTTCTATTTCTATGCTAATTTTTGGTACCTTATGATGTTTTATGTGCTTAGCAATCTATAGCCTTACCTGCCAAATCAACAATATAAATCATCATACTTATCAAATATGAGCCATTCTAATTACTAGTACTGATCCTCAGGTGTATGTGCTTGCAATAGGTACATTTTACAGGTCTGGCTCAGGTGATTTAGAAAGTAAGAGATATCTTTTTTTCACACACAGTAGAATAATGTATCAATATGAGAGAAAATTATAGATAGTAGAATTACCAGTAGATGTTTTCATCGAATATCACGAGCGCTAGGGCAGCAATACTGAGTAAGTAGAAGACACAGTCCCTGACTAACGGCCACCAGGTCAGGTAAACTACCTAAAACATAGGTAAAAACATTCATAAAATCAGGTGTTCAGATGTAAGGAAATACATTTTAATGTAAATGATTAATGACACAGCACACAATACAAACAAGAGATCCAGGAGGGATTTTGGCATCCATCATTGTTTGATCTTTATTTGTTCTTTAAAAGTTTTATCTTTTCCCTTCTTCTCTCTTCTCTTTGCTGTTTTTGCTTTTAATGAAGAGAGATTTGAACATTTCTTTGCAGACTAATCGCGATAATAATTCTAAACTTCCAAATCCATGATGGTCACCTGGAAGCCATTTTGTTTTTTTGGTCAGTCCCTAATTGAAAAGGACACAACTAGGGATCCAAGTGAACTTATAAATTAATACCAGGGAAGGTAATTATAGTATGTAATTCTTAATCATTAGTTGTTATGCTTTAATTGAGCACAAATAATGATGACATCACTGCTAGTGTCACACTTACCATACCAGCCAGTAGTGCACACACACTGATGACAAACATCACATTATACACAGCTGATCCGACAACTGTTCCCAGTCCAATGTCATCCTGTAACCAAGAAACAAGCAGTCAACAATTATAACACACTGTAATTTTTTGTCAATTATTTCTAAGTAAATGTTCAACATTTAATAGCTCATGGAGATACTTGTTATTGACCAATTAAACTTATTAAGTTGAAAATTGAATGAAATAGGATTACTATTTAAATAAGTTTTCACATTCAGCAGAACATTGTAAATGAAAATTGAAGATATTCATCATAAAATATTAAAAGTTCATAAACAATTACTGCATGAATGCAAACAGACATTAAGATATGACAGGCAATAAATATGTACACAGGTGTAATGATTATTTTGTACAGGTGAGAACACACCAGGTGTATAATCACAGGTACCCATTACAGACAGACAAGATCTTACAATATAATAAAATGACCCATGTCAGAGATATGAATGAACGCTGCATGTGCAACTATCCCTATCTCTCTTTATTTTTACAAGTATTTATTGAGTGCTCATCAATATTATACAGACATAACGTGCACAGTGTCAATCCTTCATATCTTTTGCTAATTCAGTATACAGGAAGAGGACGACAAAACCTCAATGATCTGTATAAGAAATTGGGACCCATAGGACTTGTATTGAAAACCTGGATCTTAAAGCCCAGCAATGGTATACATGCCTATAGGTTGGTCAGTCACTTTACCTCTTTGATGGGGCAAAGTCCAATAGGTAATGTTTTATATCATGACCGTCTTTCTTGATGCCCAGTAAGAGCTTACACGGTTATGTGGTTGGCTAACTATGTCAAAAATATGACCAGAGATGATGTCCCTAGCGGTGTACCACACCCAAGGGTCAATTCTTGATTAACAAATACATTTACCTCTTGATGCCAAGCAATTATATATATATCGTTATGGGGTGGGGATTTCAAGTGTTCCAAAAGATAACCCATAAATTAAGTCAAGAGGAGCGAGGCCATACCGAAAAGCCAGTTCTTACATCCTGATTTTGTTTATCTCAAGATCCCCAACAAGCAGCATATAGCTGTAGGGTGGTGATCTAAACAGCTTCAATGATGTAACAAGGGAACTAAGCCCCTGGGGATGGGGTGCCAGATCCCAGTGCCAATTCTTACATCATGACTGTGTTTATCACCTGATACCCATTGTTGCTATATAGTAATGTTGCGAGGATCTCAACTGCTTCAAAGATATTACCTAGAAACTAAGTCCTATGGGGTGGGCCACACCCAAGGGCCAATCTTTCCATCATAAATGAGTTTATCTGTTGATGCCTAACAATGCTACACATGGCCATGGGGTGGAGATTTCAACAAATTGAAAGATACAACCTAGAAATTAATTCCAGAGAGGTGGAGCCATACCATAGTGCCAGTTATTACATCATGAATATGTTTATCTCTTGATGGCCATCATTGCTGTATATGGTTATTGGTGTTTCAACTGTTTCAAAGATGCAACATATTTCACTTTTGAGCCCATCCTACCCTCAAACATGCTACAGACCAAATTTGGGAAAAATCCGACCATTCCTACAAGAGAATTTGCCCTAATTCCCTTATTAGGCTCACCCCTCCCAACCCAGGGGGCCATGATACCCCAAAACTAATTCCCATTCACCCAAAGATACATCTGACTAAATTTGGGCAAAATCAAATCATTCCTACAGGAGGACAAGGATTTCAAAGAATTTGCTCTACTTCACTTACAGGGCCCAATCCCTCCTCAACAGGAACAGGAGGCCAAGACCAACTATTAATACAAAACTGATCTCTCTCCATCCAAACATACTTCAGACTAAATTTGGACAAAATCCAATCACTCCTACTAGAGGAGTAGGCTTTTAAATACCTTTCAAAACCTCACATTTTGGGCCCTGACCCTTAGACCCTTGAGGGCGAGGACACACCATTTATACAAAATATTTTTACTTTCCCTAAGGATTCTTCTGATTAAATTTGGTCAAAATCCCTTTAGCTATTCATGACTAGTAGCGTTTTGTAGAAAAAGTTAACAGACGAACACCCTTTGGGCTAGGTAAGCTAAAGAAAAGACAATTTTGCGAATCAGACTCCCCAACTGACAAATCATCTTGCTAACAGTATGAAGATCAAGTAACAAAGTAGTGTGGTACATACAGTGTTTGATGTAGGTCAAAGGTCAAAATTTAGGTAAGATTGACCTACTTTTGATACACAATACACTGCCTCATCAAGGTGAACTCATACCCCTGGTATAAAACTCAAGTGAAAAGTAATATTGGAGATAGAACCTGGGCAAGTTAGTTAAACAATGGATAGGTGACATAAGGAAGGACAGACAGACACAACCAGGTTTGTGTGGGAAAATAATAAGCTAGAGTAGATTGCTTACTATATAAAATTATGAAAAGTTATCCTCATGCAAATATGTGTACAATCCAAAAAATGCTTGCACTTGCGCACTATTTAAGAAAATAAGCCACATCTTATTTTTGAGTTTCCAGTGCATGTATCACACAAATGAAGTATTAGTATCTTCACAGTGCATATCGCTTAGAAATGAAAAAAAATATCATATTCTCAAGCAATTTTCATCAAAAACAAGCCCTGAAGTCTTAATAATGATTGAAATCTTTTATCAACTGGATCTTGTATAAAGAGAAATTTAATTACAACCCTGACTCAAAATTGTTCAAAGTTAATTTGCATAATTCTTGTGGTTATCAAGTGTAGATACACCATGTTTAACTGGCTTCCGTTTATAAACCAATCAAGAAATCTTTAATTAAATAAGTTTTGAACACTCAACTTTCAAATTTCATAATTACTGAAAATGTTTGACAAATATTTCTTTTTAATGAAATTATATGAGAAAGATGGCATTATAATTGAATATAAAACACGAGACATTCATGTAATTGCATGTTTCACTTGTTATGCTTTGTTATTTCAAAGGAAAATACAAAATACACAGAAATTTATGTCCCCCTCCACCTCCGGCCCCCCCTAATATCAAATTTTTCCAAGTTCATCTTAATTAATTGTTTGATTTATTGTTGCTTTACATCCTAATAACAGCCAGGGTCATTTAAAGATATGTTAGGTTTGGTTGGGAGAGAGAAGCAAGAGTTACCGGAGAAAAACCACCGACCTGCAGGCAGTACCAGCCCCACATAAACCTCCAACTCATGACCATGAGGTGGAGGGCTAGTGATAAAGGTACCCAGAGGTCTAAAGCACTTGGCCACGATGGCCCCTTTTAAATTAAAAATACGATGGATTTGGTGTTTCCTTGTTTATACAGACGCGTTGTACAGTCGTTACATTTGTACAATTCAAAAAAGCCTGAAACAGATGCATTCAAATTTACCGAATTTAATACCAAACAAACCTAAATTCCCACAACTTTGAGAAATTGTGAAAACTGAGGTGTGATCATTGAGCCAACACCAAGAAAACATATTGAGAAAAAAGATAATGATCTTGAAACTTTATCCCACCTCTTGATTAAAATTCATATTTTAGAATACTTAAAGAGCTAATGAACAAAAAAACAAGCAAACCTTGGCGATGAACACAGCAATAATGGCTGTAGCAAGCTCAGGGGCTGAGCTGCCTGCTGCCATGAAGGTCGCCCCGGCAACGTCAGACTGGATCTGTAAAGCTACCACACAAAATTTTACAAAATAGTGAGAAATCTTTAAGGAACTTGTTAGGACTAGTATAAGGCTACATTTGGACATTAATATCATTTATACCTTATATCAATCATGTGATATGCAACAGTTTTGTTGGTGTTCTAATGGATTCATTCACTTTCACTAACATGCCTGAAAAAATGTAGGCCACTCTGGAAATATTATGATCTTCTGTAATGTTTTTTCTCAGGTCACCTACCCAATATCTGGGTTTTTTCCAAGTACTCTGGTTTCCTCCTACTAAAAGACTTCTTGCATCTTTACATCAAGCTGATTGATAAGGAGGTCCATGGGCCTTAACAGTCACCTGAGGTCTTCAGGTTTTTGGACAGTTTTAGATCCTGTTTATCAGTCCAAGATTATGGGCAGATAGATCAGAAATGACATATGCATACTTACAAAGTTTTTCTTGTTTCTAAGTTTGAAGGCTTAATTATCAATTAAACGGAACTGATAACACTCTCTTTTGTTGTAGTTTAGCATACCTGATCCCTGTGACCTTGAATGAAGGTCAAGGTAATTCATTTGAACAAATATGATAGCCCTTCATCCCAGTATGCTACTGGCCCAATATCATGTCCTTGGATCTTTTCGTTATTGAGAAGAAGCTGTTTAAAGTGTACCCTGAGAGGTCAGCTATGTTGACCTTAAAAAATGGTTCTGCACATAAAATACACATTGCCATAAACGTGAATGCCGTGGAATGTTTCGTTACTGAAAAATTGTGACTTTTCTGAAAAACACACCTTTGGATGAGAGGTGTTGACCTTGTTTTTGGGCACCCACACTATGACGTCATAAGTTCAATGCTTTTGCTGATGCAGCCATATTGTCTTTACTGTGCTACATGTGAGTAATTTCTTTGTTTATTTACGTGAAAGTACTTCACATCTTCGCAATATTTAAGGTAGTGAACGAGGGGTTGGTGAATTAGCACTTAAATCTGCTAAAATGGCTTCCTATTGAGGGGGGAAGCGGTGTGCAGCGGTCCTGGGAATGTTCGTACCGAAGAATTTTCGTTCCGGGTATTTTCGTCCTGAGAATTTTTGTACTACTATTATATAGTAGTACTATAGAATAGGTTATATGGGTATAAGGAGTGTATGTTGTGTGTATAAGGCTAGGTAATTAGCGTCTCTGTGGCTTGAAAAAACAATGGTGACACGTGTGAGGTGACACGCCTGTCGGCTAACAACAGACGCCTACCAGTACTTGGGTAAAAACGAGTCAAATCATTGTATAAACTTCTAAAACATCAAATTTTTATTATCAACACAGCGGAGGGTGTTATAATTTGTTGTTGACACCTTATCTATATATATCCATAGTGCTATGAAAATTCCCTGGAACGAAAATTCCCCTCAGACGAAAATTCTTTGGTACAAAAATTTCTGACACCTGTGCAGCGTACGGTTGTCCTAACACTAACACTGATGGGGTGTCAATGCATGCCTTCCTATTAAATACCGTAAATTTGCGGGTATAGTGCGCACTCGGGTATAGTGCGCAGGTACTTTTTTGGGGTCAGATTAAAAAAAAAAAAAAAAAGATTTTCTACAGAAACATTAATTGATTACTGGTTACCGCGATGAAACAGTTGTGGTTTGATCCATTGATAATTAGGAAACTACAATCATCATGACCCTAACATATTTAATTACCTTATGTAAACAAATTCATACAGGTGCCTGACTTAACAAGCATGAAAGGCTTGGCTAACAGGATAATTAACGGTTCTTAACAGGTAACAAACACGTTGAGTATGAGGAGATTGATGACACCCGGCTTCGGCTGAACGCGTACTAATGCTCAGAAAACGATGTTGTTTTAACTGTCTGAAAAGTTTCAATCATACCTTGTCCCCATACCTGTACCTACCACGGTATCCGAAGGTACTTAGTTATAGATTGTTTACACCGACTTCGACGTGGGGAAACAGAGAACACCATTGGACTACGCCGAGAGACTTGAGTTTCCTGCCGCCAGTCGCCACTTCGACATTCCAGAGTGAAATATCATGGCACAAAAGAAAAAAGAAGACCGTCTAAAATCCCAACCACTGACCAGAAGGGCTAACATTGAAGGGCTAAAATTGATCTTATTTTATTTTTTGTTGTTGTTGTTTTTATCTCCAGACTATCATATAAGACCGACGACTTTTACATAAAACTATGTGAAGGGAGGTAATCCAATATGGCGGACGCAGAACTCAGGAATGATAACAACAAGAATAGCATGTTCCTGCATATAATGTGCACCCCCTTTTTGACACGACAGTTTTAGCTTGAAAAAGTGCGCAAACAATGGATTCAGTTTGTCAGGAAGAAGAGAGACATGTGGAAAGGTTCAATGAAATATTCATATTTATGTTCAAAACACTTCAACGGAACTTCATTTTGAATTCGGTATAGTGAAATGAAAGCAATGGATCGTACTCCACTGAAACGATCGTCACTTTCCAAAGGGTTAGTTTCCTCCTCACTGTATACATCATCTTGTAATTCTGGTTCAAATTGGTAGGGCTGGATTTCGTCTTCAGAAATATCATCCACACCATAATCAGACTCCTCAAAAATTCAAATCGCTATCAGGTGCGGAGTCATTGTGACTGTCAGTCATGTTGGCTGCCATTTCTGTTGACTGATGACATCACGAGTAGAAGTGCCACGATTCCGCAAAAATGATGATTACGCTGATTAGATCTGAGCGGACAGGTGAAAATTGACAACTTTGAGCTTTAATAACTCAACACTGGGGCGATGGATTTTGACGGGGTTTTCGCTATTATTATTTTATGGCATTCTAACATTATAATTAAATATAGAATTAACACTCAGAGTACACTTTAAAGATTTTGACATATCTGATACATGTGACCTTGTAAGTAGGTCAAGGTCAATAATATAAGCAAACTTGGTAGCACTTTATCACATAATAATACTGGCTCCATATCAGCAATCTGTGCCTTTCTTTATTGATAAGAAGACATTTAAACTTATTTCATCCCTGTGACCTTGAAAATGGGTCAAGGTCATTAATTTTATTGAACTTGGTAGCCCTTCATCCTAGCATGCTACAGGCCCTATTTCATCACTCTGGGCCTTTTGATTATTGAAAAGATGTTTTTTAAAAGATTTCAACATATTTGACCTGGTGACCTTGAATGTGGATTAAGGTAATTTATTTTGACAAACTTGGTAGTCCTTTATCCCAGCATGCTATATGCTCAATATCAACACCCTAGGCCTTTTAATTAGTTTAGTTAATTCAGTCTCAGGTGACCAAATAAGCTTTCTCAATTGATGTAAAATAAATAAAATTTATCTTTTGATAATGAGCTAGCAAATGATTCTTGACTTAAATAGCTCTTCCTTGAAAATTATTTTTAAAAAAATGGAGTAGGAAAATTATCTCGGAGATGGTGAAAACTTGAGACTCTTGTGAATGAAGCATGAAAACTGTGGCAGAGTATACATCCCATGTGTGACCAGGAATCAAGAATAGATATAATACATAAATAATGTCTACTTATTAGATTAGTACAGAGTGGTCATGTCAGGTATTGAGGCCACAGAAAAACAGGGAAGGTTAATGCAATGGCATAATCTGAAGAGTGGGGTGGGACAGGGGAGGTAACTGTGGAATAGGCAAAGGAGGTAAGTATAAATAAGGAAGTTATTAATACATTAAATATTGTGAAGTAGTAGATTAAGTGTAATTTGGCTACTTGTAAGGTTCTATAAATCATTTTGTGAAACTGATTTACCTATTGCTTTGTATTCAATGCCTTCAAATTTTCATCTTTAGAATAAAACAAAAAAATGTCTGGTGGACAAGTATGCCACTACCCCAATAATATAAATATCATTTTTTGATGAATATACAAGTCCCTGATTACCAGGGCTATATCATGCTGTAAGAACAAGGACAATACCATACAGTGAGTACCAGGACAATACAATACAGTGAGTACCAGGACAATACCATACTGTGAGTACCAGGACAATACCATACAGTGAGTACCAGGACAATACCATACTGTGAGTACCAGGACAATACCATACAGTGAGTACCAGGACAATACCATACAGTGAGTACCAGGACAATACCATACAGTGAGTACCAGGACAATACCATACAGTGAGTACCAGGGCTATACCATACAGTGTGTAGCAGGACAATACCATACTGCGAGTACCAGGGCTATACCATACAGTGAGTACCAGGTCAATATCATACTGTGAATACCAGGACAATACCATACAGTGAGTACCAGGACAATACCATACAGTGAGTACCAGGACAATACCATACAGTGAGTACCAGGACAATACCATACTGTGAGTACCAGGACAATACCATACTGTGAGTACCAGGACAATACCATACCGTGAGTACCAGGACAATACCATACAGCGAGTACCAGGACAATACCATACAGCGAGTACCAGGCGAGTACCAGGACAATACCATACAGTGAGTACCAGGACAATACCATACAGTGAGTACCAGGACAATACCATACAGTGAGTACCAGGACAATACCATACAGTGAGTACCAGGACAATACCATACAGTGAGTACCAGGACAATACCATACCGTGAATACCAGGACAATACCATACAGTGAGTACCAGGACAATACCATACAGTGAGTACCAGGACAATACCATACAGTGAGTACCAGGACAATACCATACTGTGAGTACCAGGACAATACCATACAGTGAGTACCAGGACAATACCATACCGTGAGTACCAGGACAATACCATACCGTGAGTACCAGGACAATACCATACCGTGAGTACCAGGACAATACCATACAGTGAGTACCAGGGCTATATCATACTGTGAATACCAGGACAATATCATACAGTAAGTACCAGGACCATACAGTGAGTACCAGGACAATACCATACAGTGAGTACCATGACTATACCATACAGTGAGTACCAGGACAATACCATACCGTGAGTACCAGGGCTATACCATACAGTGAGTACCAGGACAATACCATACTGTGAGTACCAGGGCTATACCATACAGTGTGTAGCAGGACAATACCATACAGTGAGTACCAGGACAAGACCATACTGTGAGTACCAGGACAATACCATACAGTGAGTACCAGGACAATACCATACAGTGAGTACCAGGACAATACCATACTGTGAGTACCAGGACAATACCATACAGTGAGTACCAGGACAATACCATACTGTGAGTACCAGGGCTATACCATACAGTGTGTAGCAGGACAATACCATACAGTGAGTACCAGGACAATACAATACAGTGAGTACCAGGACAATACCATACTGTGAGTACCAGGACAATACCATACTGCGAGTACCAGGGCTATACCATACAGTGTGTAGCAGGACAATACCATACAGTGAGTACCAGGACTATATCATACTGTGAGTACCAGGACAATACCATACAGTGAGCACCAGGACAATACCATACAGTGAGTACATGGACTATACATACTATGAGTACCATGGTTAAACCATACTGTGAACACCAGGACTATATCAATTATCTAAGTACAAACTGTACCCATTAATTATAAGCAGGAATGTAATCCTAGAATTCTAGGGCTATACATTAACCATCCACCCCCACAAGACCAGTATTCAGAATTGTTGTTTTCATCATTGGCTATGACATTTAGCTGGTATCATAATCCAACATCTTATTGTCAGCTGCAAACAGTAATAAATATAAAACCTCTCTCTAACACGATTCCATCTGCCACCCCCACAACTTTATAGCACATTACTCTCACCATTGATCTGGACCAGTTTAATATTACTGAAAGTTGAAACAGATGACAGAACGACAAAAATATGCTGCTCTTGGGTATATTGATATCAAAATGTATGAGGCAGACTGAATCTCATTACATTGCTGTCCTTGTCATCATTTGAGGTCATAGTCCAGTACCTACGCAGGTGATAAATATGGTTATGTAGTCTTTGGCCATCTCTAATTATCTGTAATGATCTGTATATGATCTGCTAGCCAAGTCTGCATCCTGTGTTATTTTATGACGGTGTTGGGTAAACCATATAATAGCCATTGTTTAACTACAGCGAGGAAAGCTCAACATTGTTTTTAGAGAATCTAGAAGACACCAAAATATTATTCATCATAATAATAAAAAAATCTTGATTTCAGAATTGCTTTAATTTAACATTTGCAGAGTATTTTTCATTATCATATTTTCATATTGTCATTTTTCTTTTCTTTTTAAACAATCGTTTTGGAGAATCTAGAAGATATCAAAATATTACTCGTCATAACAATAAAAAATTCAGATTTCAGAATTTCTTTTAATTTACTATCTGCAGAATTAAAAAATAAAATGTTTTTATTATCTTTTTTTTCTATGTCAAGCTTTGAAATGTGTTTATATAAAAAAAAAACGAAAGTTGATATATATAAATTAATAGGCTGTGTTGTGACAACAGACTAACTAAATCAGGTGTGATTCCCTGAGATAAGGATCTGAGCCTGGGGATACACAATAATTGTGTTATAAAGATATAGCAATGGTTTGTATGTATACAGTACATGTGTTTGCATTGTTAGGATACAAACAATGATGAATAATATAACCAAAATTAATTAAATCAATGGGGAGATTTTTACTTGCCTTCGTTAGTAAGTAAGGGAAACAAAATGCCTGATCAGATTACTGTAAATGTTGAAATTTACGTGTGGGGAAATTTACAATGAATATCCAGAAGTCATTCAGCCGCATACATTTCACACATGCATATGAATTTGTGGTGTATTACATACATACTGAATTATAAATTAAATATGCAAAGGTGTAATGATCATAAAAATAACCTCCATACATTCACTTTGCCTTATGTAATTGCAGAACTAAATCCCAGCGGAAATAAGCACATTTACACTACCTGACTCAATGTGAATAATCTTATACTAAATACAAAGCATCTTTATTGATCTAGTGATTGATAATTCAGTATTTAATCAATTGTTTTGAATATTCCTGTCTTTAATGACCCAGCTTGAATAACCAGTGTTAAATGACGAAGTGTGACTAACACATTATCATAATGATCTAGTACTTAATATTAATCTAATGTCTGATGACAAGATATTTAAAGACAAAGTTTAAAAGCATTTGCATAGCAGTTAATGACCAAAGTTTAATGAACCTTTGTTATTTATCAAGAATTGGATGACTTAGCATATAATGGCCCAAAGTGCAACACCCAGTGTTTAATGACCACTGTTTAATGACCATGTGATAAATTACCCAGTTCTCTTTAAAAGAATCTGTGTGACTAACCCAGACTTAATGACACAGACTTAATGACACAGAGTTTAATGACACAGAGATTAAAAACCCTAAATTTAATGATCTAGAGTTAAATGATCCAGTGTTTAATGACCCAGAGTTAAGTGACCCAGAGTTAAATGACTCAGATTAAATGACCCTGAGTTACATGACCCAATTTTTATAGACCCACAGTTTAGTGACCGAGAGTTTAGTGACCTAGAATCTAATGGCCTTTTGTTAAATGACACTGAGTTCGATAAAACGGAATTAAATGACAATCATTTTAATGACCTAGATTTGAACAGATTTCTTAATGACCTTTTGATCATAAATGCTGTTAGGCTGACCTTTTGTGAATAAACAATTGTACTTACTGTCTAAAGTGACTGAACTTACTGATCTAAAGTGTAATAACCAAGTGTTTAATGACCCAGAGTGTAATAACAAAATGTTTAATGACCCAGAGTGTAATAACCAAGTGTTTAATGACCCAGAGTGTAATAACTGTAAGTGTTTAATGACCCAGAGTGTAATAACCAATTGTTTAATGATCCAGAGTGTAATAACCAAGTGTTGAATGACCCAGAGTGTAATAACTGTAAGTGTTTAATGACCCAGAGTGTAATAACTGTAAGTGTTTAATGACCCAGAGTGTAATACCTGTAAGTGTTTGATGACCCAGAGTGTAATACCTGTAAGTGTTTAATGACCCAGAGTGTTTAATGACCCAGAGTGTAATACCTGTAAGTGTTTAATGACCCAGAGTGTAATAACTGTAAGTGTTTAATTACCCAGAGTGTAATACCTGTAAGTGTTTAATGACCCAGAGTGTAATAACTGTAAGTGTTTAATGACCCAGAGTGTAATAACTGTAAGTGTTTAATGACCCAGAGTGTAATAACTGTAATAAATGTAAGTGTTTAATGACCCAGAGTGTAATAACTGTAAGTGTTTAATGACCCAGAGTGTAATAATTATAAGTGTTTAATGACCCAGAGTGTAATACCTGTAAGTGTTTAATGACCCAGAGTGTAATACCTGTAAGTGTTTAATGACCCAGTGTGTAATACCTGTAAGTGTTTAATGACCCAGAGTGTAATACCTGTAAGTGTTTAATGACCCAGAGTGTAATAAATGTAAGTGTTTAATGACCCAGAGTGTAATACCTGTAAGTGTTTAATGACCCAGAGTGAAATACCTGTAAGTGTTTAATGACCCAGAGTGTAATACTTGTAAGTGTTTAATGACCCAGAGTGTAATACCTGTAAGTGTTTAATGACCCAGAGTGTAATAACTGTAAGTGTTTAATGACCCAGAGTGAAATAATTGTAAGTGTTTAATGACCCAGAGTGTAATAACTGTAATAAATGTAAGTGTTTAATGACCCAGAGTGTAATAATTATAAGTGTTTAATGACCCAGAGTGTAATAATTGTAAGTGTTTAATGACCCAGAGTGTAATAACTGTAATAAATGTAAGTGTTTAATGACCCAGAGTGTAACAACTGTAAGTGTTTAATGACCCAGAGTGTAATACCTGTAAGTGTTTAATGACCCAGAGTGTAATACCTGTAAGTGTTTAATGACCCAGAGTGTAATACCTGTAAGTGTTTAATGACCCAGAGTGTAATAACTGTAAGTGTTTAATGACCCAGAGTGTAATAACTGTAAGTGTTTAATGACCCAGAGTGTAATACCTGTAAGTGTTTAATGACCCAGAGTGTAATAACTGTAAGTGTTTAATGACCCAGAGTGTAATAACTGTAAGTGTTTAATGACCCAGAGTGTAATAACCAATTGTTTAATGATCCAGAGTGTAATAACCAAGTGTTTAATGATCCAGAGTGTAATAACCAAGTGTTTAATGACCCAGAGTGTAATAACTGTAAGTGTTTAATGACCCAGAGTGTAATAATTGTAAGTGTTTAATGACCCAGAGTGTAATAATTGTAAGTGTTTAATGACCCAGAGTGTAATAACTTTAAGTGTTTGATGACCCTCTTTATTTAATGACTCTGTGTGTAATAATGTTGTGTGATTGACCCAGATTTTAATTTTAAAAAAGCAGTACTTACTATCACAGATAATTTCAAGAGAAGGCACAAAGTAGTCATCACAAAGATAGGCAAAACCCAGGAACATGTAGAGTGACACAAGGATGTGAATGGTGATTCCACCCCTTAACCGCTGCTCCTGGTTAAACAGCCCCCGAGGAAACTGCTCCACAGCCCGTGGGGTACAGTTTTCCAGGCCAGTCAAGTGACGAGATTCCACTGAAAGACACAAAAACATAATAAGAAGGGTATCATACTGATGAAAGTTTATACTAGAGCGATGTTGGGATATTTTCTGTTATATGTGAAATTTTTATGGTAACAGACTTAAGAATTATCACATTTCATTTACTGTAAAGTCCTATATTTTCATGGGAATCTATTTTCATGGTTTTTCCATTAGGATTTTATTTCACAGAAACTTGATTATGGGGATATATCCACTTACACAGATATTAAAATCACACGGATTTATGAGTTTGAGGATTAAGAGTATTCAGGAAATCGATCAATATTAATCTTACAACAAAAAGTTTATATGTTATATTTCTGAGTGCATGTATAATGAAAAAAATGCTTTTAGCATTGTATATTATGGATGGCATGCCTGAAAATCTAAAATCACATCGCATGAAAAGTTAGTAAAATGTAATTCATTTATCAGTTGTAACTAGAATATTTCATTGCTATTTCTGTGAATTTCCTTCATACTGATCTGCCTACATTCTATATACCACTGTTGAATAGATAATTTATGGATTTTTCCATAGTTTTTAATTGTGTCTTGGGAGTGTTTTGTACTATTTCGCCCTTATAATTCTACAATCTTTTGATATTTGACAATTAAATACCACCCATCTAATCTGTGATCAGGAGTATTAGGAAGATCAAATGTGACATTTCAAAATATCAGTAAAAATTGTTGTTGCCGAGATCCATGCAATAATCTGTAATGTTTGATCTTTACTCTAATCCATAACATGTAAATTAACACTCAGAAATCCCAATAACAAACTTCATTAAATATCTCATTTTTCCAATTAATTCAAAACATTTTGAAAAAAAATCTTTGAAATCCAATAACTTGTAAAAAAATGAAAAAAAAGCAGTTTTTCAGAATTGATGTATTCTACAAGACAAATTAAAAAACATATGTCTGTGAAGATGATCAGTTTGAAGATATTAAATCCGAAGCATGTAATATCCATATGTTTGATTGTTCCTTATTGTCAGGATAAGATAATGACTTGTAGGAATTGTATCTGATACCAAGAGGTAGGTGACAATGCAAAGAACCAATTCATTATGTCTGCATATGAAATTTCAGTGATATTGATTCCAACATAGAAGACATTCGATTATATAGTTATTTCCTGTCCATTAAAAATGTTACATGAAGAAAAGTCTTTAGCTACAGAATACAGGAAGTTGAATCTAGACTTCACATTAAATCTACAGCACACACATGAAAAAGTAACATTCATACGCAATGTGAGACAAAATCATGACCATTATTGATTTTGTGGGGCAAGAAATCACTATCAAATACAACCGTCGATACCAACATCTTAAGACAAGCCTTGTTTAATTGAATACGTGGTGCCTTCGCGATATGCTGCCTAGTTGTATTACCAGATTCTACTTGGAATTTTTTGCCACTTTCTTTTATAATCTTTCTCTTCATGTTCACAAGTGTTATGGTAGATATTGACAGCTATACAGACACATTAATTCACGAAGCTTATTCGTATGAGACAACATTTTCAGAATAATTCTGTATTCAAAGACCCGTATAGATTAGGTAACAATGCGAAACGGCAACATCTGCGAATAAAGTGTCTCCATTACTGCCAGAAATCATGCTCCATTCATTTAATGAAAGTAACCTTTAGTTCATTGAAATTCAAAACAAGACGCCCTAAATCATGGTATTATCTTGCATTCTGCGCTCTTAAAGGAAGCAGCTCAGACATTCATACTGTCGCTAAATTAAAAGCCATAGTAGTCTCTCATTCTAATGATATTTTGATGTAGATTCTCTGTGTTTTTCACCGTTCGGGATGTTAATCTGTCCATGAGTAAATGAATTCTTTCTTTAGGTAAATCATTTACACTACATATTGGGTCAGGTGGGGAAAAAACATTTCTCTTTCGTCAAAAGGATATCTGTACATCTAAATTAAAACTGTTTATCATTTTCTAAAAAGGTAAGGATACAAGTACAGGACCTAATTTATGAATGATCCTTAACTTAAGGAAATTTTAACTATCAAAGAAAAGCATTTAAAAGTTCAGGGAAAACTTCAATTTAAGGAAATTTCCTTAATTTAAGTAACACTTTCCTATGGTCAATTTCAAGTTAAGAAAAATTTCTTAGTTAAGGAAGATTCATGATGCTGGGGCCAGCTCTCTTACCAGTCATTAAGTAATATACACTGCATGTAGTAACTTCAGAAATGAACAATCAACCAAACATACTGTATTTAATGTACATTTATATTCCATTCTGTCTTTATAATGCAGATTATTAAAAACATCAAGAAATACCAACATGGCAATATAATCACAATTCAAACTCAAATTCTATAAAACTAGGGCAAAATATGAACAAAAGAAAGATTTACACAGAGACACTCCTGAAAAATCTAAAAGAGAATAAGACCAGGTGTTCCAGAAGAGTAAGCAACTTCTGCTTCATTAAAAACACCCACCATGCAAACTTTGGTCAATCCAAGTAAGTAATGTCACATTATCAAATGAGAACAAGGTATAGAACAATGGAACTCATAGGCAAACTAAAGAGCATCAAATATGTCCAGCTTCATGTCACACAAAGAAATAGAGTATTACGTTGATTTCAACTAAAACAAAATAATTCATAAATGACTCTAATCTGCCAAGTGGATTAGCTATTGTGTACATCCACTCTGTAATCTGCCAAGTGGATTAGCTATTTTGTACATCAACTCTGTAATCTGCCAAGTGGATTAGCTATTTTGTACATCAACTCTGTAATCTGCCTAGTGGATTAGCTATTTTGTATATCCATCCTGTAATCTGCCTAGTGGATTAGCTATTTTGTATATCCACTCTGTAATCTGCCTAGTGGATTAGCTATTTTGTACATCAACTCTGTAATCTGCCTAGTGGATTAGCTATTTTGTACATCAACTCTGTAATTTGCCAAGTGGATTAGCTATTTTGTACATCAACTCTGTAATCTGCCAAGTGGATTAGCTATTTTGTACATCAACTCTGTAATCTGCCAAGTGGATTAGCTATTTTGTACATCAACTCTGTAATCTGCCTAGTGGATTAGCTATTTTGTATATCCATCCTGTAATCTGCCTAGTGGATTAGCTATTTTGTATATCCACTCTGTAATCTGCCTAGTGGATTAGCTATTTTGTATATCCATCCTGTAATCTGCCAAGTGGATTAGCTATTTTGTATATCCACCCTGTAATCTGCCTAGTGGATTAGCCATTTTGTATATCCACCCTGTAATCTGCCTAGTGGATTAGCTATTTTGTATATCCACCCTGTAATCTGCCTAGTGGATTAGCTATTTTGTATATCCACCCTGTAATCTGCCAAGTGGATTAGCTATTTTGTATATCCACCCTGTAATCTGCCTAGTGGATTAGCTATTTTGTATATCCACCCTGTAATCTGCCAAGTGGATTAGCTATTTTGTATATCCACCCTGTAATCTGCCTAGTGGATTAGCCATTTTGTATATCCACCCATCCCTGTAATCTGCCAAGTGGATTAGCTATTTTGTACATCCACTCTGTAATCCGTCAAGTGGATTAGCTATTTTGTACATCCACTCTGTAATCCGTCAAGTGGATTAGCTATTTTGTACATCCACTCTTTAATCTACCAAGTGGTTAAGCTATTTTGTACATCAACTCTGTAATTTGCCAAGTGGATTAGCTATTTTGTACATCAACTCTGTAATCTGCCTAGTGGATTAGCTATTTTGTACATCAACTCTGTAATTTGCCAAGTGGATTAGCTATTTTGTATATCCACTCTTTAATCTACCAAGTGGTTAAGCTATTTTGTACATCAACTCTGTAATTTGCCAAGTGGATTAGCTATTTTGTATATCCACCCTGTAATCTGCCTAGTGGATTAGCCATTTTGTATATCCACCCTGTAATCTGCCTAGTGGATTAGCTATTTTGTATATCCACCCTGTAATCTGCCTAGTGGATTAGCTATTTTGTATATCCACCCTGTAATCTGCCTAGTGGATTAGCTATTTTGTATATCCACCCTGTAATCTGCCAAGTGGATTAGCTATTTTGTATATCCACCCTGTAATCTGCCTAGTGGATTAGCTATTTTGTATATCCACCCTGTAATCTGCCAAGTGGATTAGCTATTTTGTATATCCACCCTGTAATCTGCCTAGTGGATTAGCCATTTTGTATATCCACCCTGTAATCTGCCAAGTGGATTAGCTATTTTGTACATCAACTCTGTAATCTGCCAAGTGGATTAGCTATTTTGTACATCAACTCTGTAATCTGCCAAGTGGATTAGCTATTTTGTACATCAACTCTGTAATCTGCCAAGTGGATTAGCTATTTTGTACATCAACTCTGTAATCTGCCAAGTGGATTAGCTATTTTGTACATCAACTCTGTAATCTGCCTAGTGGATTAGCTATTTTGTATATCCATCCTGTAATCTGCCTAGTGGATTAGCTATTTTGTATATCCATCCTGTAATCTGCCAAGTGGATTAGCTATTTTGTATATCCACCCTGTAATCTGCCTAGTGGATTAGCCATTTTGTATATCCACCCTGTAATCTGCCTAGTGGATTAGCTATTTTGTATATCCACTCTGTAATCTGCCTAGTGGATTAGCTATTTTGTATATCCACCCTGTAATCTGCCTAGTGGATTAGCCATTTTGACAATGTGCCTTTACCATTTTTTATGCCTATAACACTTCAACATTGTAATTCATATACTGGATGATATTTACTGTATCACACAGTTTTCTGGTTGGGTTATACATAAAGCCTCATAAGTAGTGTGTAATGCTAAATACACTGTATAACCAACAAACAATTCCTGTTGAAAGTGACAAGAACAGGAAATTTAAGCTGTTGTTTCATATCTTATTCCTGAATTTTAAAATTGTTTAATTTTCACGTTTATTTTAAACGAAACGATGTGCTACAATGTAACACATCGGTAT